ACAACACGAATTTTAAAAAACAGGAAAAAAAGGGTAATATATGTTTTTTTTTTAGAAAATTTAAGGTTAAATTAAAAGTATTCACGAAATGACTAATGTTAAGCATGACTTTTACAGTTCGATATACCCAGAAGAATCCTGTGAAGTTTCATCTCGATCTAGCAAACCGTTTCTTTGTTTCAAACAGTCAAACTTTTGAAAAGGGTCACGATTTTTGAGCTTTATAATCATAATTAAAATGGAAAAAAAAATAGTTTTCAGGTTTTCTCAGATTTTCAACACAAATAACGTGATGAAAAATGTTCGAAAATTATTTTCAAAGATATCTTTTTAAAAATTTTGTTCATCAATTTAAACGTTATTTGCAGTAAAAATGTGAGAAAACCTCCATTTTAATCATATGTATGAAGTGTTTAAGCTCAAAAAACGTACCCTTTAATTTTTTTTCCAAAATTTGATTGTTTGAAAGAAACGGTTCGCTAGATTGAGATGAAACTTCACATGTTTTTTCTGGGTATATCGAACTGTAAAAGTCATGCTTAATATTAGTCATTTCGTGAATATTTCTAATTTAGCCGTAAATTTTCTAAAAAAACATAGATTACCTTTTCCCTGTTTTTTAAAATTCGTGTAAAAGATAAAAAAAAATACCGAAAAGTTGCGGCAGCATGTTATAGGACATTTATTTCAGTTTTAGAAACTGCCCTTCAATTCTCTGTACGACCATTTGTCGCAGAGATATCAATGATTGAAGACAAAAGGATCCTTTTCCATTGAAAGTCCGATATTTCGATGAAAAATGGTCGTATCGAAATTTAAAATAAAAGGAAATTGAAACTGAATAAACAAGTTGTCTGGTCCACGCAATGGCTTAGCTGAAAAAAATTTTTCCAAGTCCGTGGACTCGGAAAAAAAATTTTCAAAACTTTTTTACCACGCTATTTCTTAGAATTACATGATAATCGTAGCTCCTAGAAAATATCGACCGAAAGATCTAAAAATTAGAATCTTAGAGCTTCAAAATGCTCTTTTTTAATCCCCGATACGACGACCATTTCTTACCTAAATACAGTCTGTCAAAAATCACAGAAAAATTTCGGAAATTCTTTTGACCCTTTAATTGTTTGCATTACTGTAGTATAATTGCTTCCATTGCTTTCTGAAAGCTTTATTAAGTGAATAACGCATTTCAGTTTCCATGTTACGACTTAGTAAGAATGAATGATAGGGGTATATGCATATACGTCGAGTTGCATGTTGAGGTTAATGGAAACTGGTGCATATTTATCAAAAAAACCACGCACGGTATTAGTATATATCGCTAGAGTAAGTCAATTACACCGGTCTTGTTAACGTTGGCATAAATCTCGGACTAATATCCAAAGCGATTCATTTGTGGCATAGCTTCTAGTTTTATTTCTGTGTTTATGCACTATGCATGAAAAAACCCTTGTTATAAAAATTTACAGAATTTTGTTGTTCTTAAAATCGCGTCAGCAACAAATTGACTGAAAATCTTTTCCACTGTTATTATTTTACAACTATGAAATTATTACCAACAAATTGCAGATTTTTTAAAATTTTCTTACAATATTGTTTGAATAAAATTTGTCCCTGTAGCGATTTTAGGAGCAATGGTGTTAATTCTTATGAATTTACCGTTTTCTCAACTCACCACAGGCTGTTAAAAACTGATGAATTCAAAAAGTTACTTTATATACTCACGAAATGCGGTACTTATAAATAGAAAACTCCCTCTATTTGCGTTCTATTCTATTTAAAGATATGTAAAATTACAAATTTAAATTTCATTTGTTATGGAAGCCCCTGGCGTAGGTTATTTTTTATCATTCTGTTTAAGACTGGAGATATTAGATTTAAAATATTCCTTTTCCCCCGGAATACCTACCTAATATTTAGATTTGCTATCGGGGAGAAATCAAATTTCCCTAAAAAATGAGATGAATCCGTTCCAAATAGATTCTATTCCTAAAGAAAATGCTGAGGTTTGGCACATACGAGAATGATATCTAAATGAGAAGATTGATTGAGGCAGATACACATTTTGAAAATTAAAATAGTAGTTTAACATTTCAAAAGTCTTCCGAAATCATCGGCCACAGAAATATAGGGTGACTCTTAATTCGACTGTCAAACTTCTACAGGGTGTTCCTTGGCCAAAATTAAGACAAAGACCCATTCGAAGATATGGCGGAGTGAAGATGATTTATTCTTGTCTTTTCTTCATTCTTTCTTTAAATATGATTTTTTTTCGTCTTCTATTAAATAGGATGTAAAACTGTTGTAGTGTCATTTGTGCTACGCGTTTGTGCCTATTGATGACTTTATACAAATTGCGTTTCAAAGTAAACAGGACTCTTTAAAAATATGAACAAAAAGTTTTTTTAGGAAAACCGATTTATTTTATTCAAAACAGTCCCCTGCCGACTAAATACAGCTATTTGTGTAGTCTGCAAGCAACCAACACTGCACGAAGTGGATGTACTTTTCGTCATAACTCTGCAAATGAGTCGATGCATCATATTTATGAATGTCGTTGCATATTTTGGCACTCAAAGATTTAGACCAGGGCGGATCTATTTTGAGGTGGATGTGAGAGGGGGCAAGCAATTTTTTTTCAGGATTAACTTCAATACAATTCACATAATAAAAGTGTAGATCCCTAGATCTGGGCGAGGTCCGGAACATTTTCAAAATTGCGAAAATGTTTAAACAAGTTAAAAAAATACCTATTTTATCTGTTTTTTACTTATATCTTGGAACCTAAAACCTAAAAAAAACCTTAATGTATAATAAAAAAATACATCAAATTTAATTAAAATCGGTTAAAATATAATTAAAAAAATATTTTGAAATTAATTTTTTTGTTAAATACAGGTAAAATTAAGAAAAAATAGTACTTTAAAATTATAATTTTTAAAAAAATTGAAAAAAATTAAACTGCAAATTGATAAATGTAAACTAATTTTTTAAAAATAAAAAAAAGAGGCTGTCCTAATCAACCGATTTCAATTTTTCAAAACCATTTGAAAGATTGAGCGGTATTTTCTAGATGAAAAAATTTTGAAATATCTAAATGCTTTATTTGAGGCTGGACAACATTTTGAAAATTCGAAATTTTTTTCAAAATTTTTTTCAAAAAATTATTTTGCGAAAGCTATAGAACCGATTTTAATGAAATTTGGTGTGTTGTTTTATTATACTCTAAAGTTTTTTTTTATGAAAATTAGAATGCCCTCGGAGGAATTAAAATATTTTTAAAAAATTATCAAAAAAACTTGATTATTTTGCCTTTTTTACATCAATTATTGCTATTTTGCAACATCGGTAATAAATTGAAACATTTTTAACTTACAGTATATTGTGTAAAATTCAATTTTAAAACTTTTTTCCTATTTAATATTCTTCCAAAATGCATAGATTCCAAGATATAAGTAAAAAACTCCGATAAAATAGGTATTTTTTAAATTTAAACATTTTCACAATTTTGAAAATGTTCCGGACCTCGCCCAGATCTAGGGATCTACACTTTTATTATGTGAGTTGAACTGAAGGTATTCCTGCAAAACTTAGCTTGCCCCCTCTTACATCCAAGGAGTATCCCACGATACTTCGACAGATACGCCCTAGTCTATTAATGAACCTTTGGAATCTTTCAACTTCTTTCAATTATTCTTCGTTTTTATTTGTGTAGAAGCTTCCTTATTTTCCGTAAATCTGTAAATATGTTTTTAACATCCAACTGATTATTTTAGTCAACACAATCGCCATATAGGGTGTCCTAGAGNGGAGGAATTAAAATATTTTAAAAAAATTATCAAAACAACTTGATTATTTTGCCTTTTTTACATCAATTATTGCTATTTTCCAACATCGGTAATAACTTAAAACATTTTTAATTTACAGTATATTGTATAAAATTAATTTTTAAAACATTTTTCCTATTTAATATTCTTCCAAAATGCATAGATTTCAAGATATAAGTAAAAAACTCAGATAAAATAGGTATTTTTTTAAATTTAAACATTTTTACAGTTTTGAAAATGTTCCGGACCTCGCCCAGATCTAGGGACCTACACTTTTATTATGTGAGTTGAACTGAAGGTATTCCAGCAAAAATTAGCTTGCCCCCTCTTACATCCAATAAGTGGGATATTTCGACAGATTCGCCCTAGTCTATTAATGAACCCTTGCAATCTTTCAACTTCTTTCAGTTATTCTTCGTTTTTATTTGTGTAGAAGCTTCCTTATTTTCCGTAAATCTGTATATATGTTTTTAACATCCAACTGATTATTTTAGTCGACACAATCGCCATATAGGGTGTCCTAGAGTTAAGTGCCATTTTAACCGCTTGTTCATTAAACACGTCAATAATAAAAAAATTTTGAAATCTTATATGTTTCTCCAGTAGCTATGGATTTAAAAAATATATTAGTACTTAAATGTATGCGAATGCCTTATGCAATGATTTACTATCTCAAAGTTTTTTACTAGACTAGTAGACTACATGTCATGCGTAAAAAGTACGACGAGGTATTAACAGTTGTCATTGTGCATCATGTCGGATTTTACAAACAATAAATATGTTAAGCAAGTATATTACTGTATCTATTTTACAAACAATGTTTTTTGTTCTATACACAAAAATATCGTGTTCCAGTTAATATTATCAAGTTGACCTAGGTTTGACCTTGAAACCTAAGTTCAACGTCAAATTAAAGAGCACCCATGTTGGTTTCATGATATCCCACAACTTTAATCTGAAGACTCAATCCTGACAAGTTATAGGGCGTTGATTCTGTTATTTTTGGGACACCCTGTATATAAATAATATTAACCAAATGGACTTCACAGTGAATTGAAACTGGATATGACATTGAGGGAACTTTCCTCTTATTCCGCAATATTTCAATTTTTCTAGTTATGTAACGCCGCTAGCTGTAGATACAAAATTTAATAGGAATAAATTGATGCCTACCTCTGCTCCGGCCAGCGCCCTATCACCTGCGCTCCTCACGTGGCAATGGAGATAGGCAGTGGCGCCCAACTGGACTGTCACGTTGGTCACCGTGTTGTTCTCTGCGCCGGCCATCGCTTCCGCCCTGGAATAGTCCTCGAAATTGGGGTACCACAGTTGCCGCCACTCGGAGTACTTCTGAATGTCGCGCCTCTCTGAAAATAAAAGATATTTACGTATAATTTCCCTTTTATTATTTGGAGAATAATATTCCGCCCCCCTCCCACACAAATACAGGGCGTCATTTGAGAGAGGGCATTCAAAGTGTTTGAAAATGTAGACCTGTGTTCTTTTTAAGCAATAAAACTGGTTTGTGCTGTTAGATATAGGATTCTTAAAATTCAACTGTAATAGCAATAAGTTCATGTATAAAAAATTTTTATTTTCGTATTCTTCTCAGCAAACCCTTTCATTTGATACCCATATCATGGGGGTGCATAGAAAATAACTGGTCCGCCATCTTTGAGATGCCGCCATATTGGATTTAGAATGACGTCACTTACGCAACCATGCATTGTCATCCAAACTAAACGTGTACGCAAAATTTCAGCTCAATCGGTTGGGGATAACTGTTTTAAAATTCAGATGCAAGATTTGACCCATACTAACAAGGTAAGTTAAATAAAAGCTTGTAAAAAATCTTGTAATAGCAAGGCAAGTTAAATAATAGCTTGTAATAATTCGTAGAAGCTATAATTCCTTGAATGTTAATTATTATCAGTTTAATTTAATTAAGACTGGGGACAGAGCGAAATAGAGGCATAGAGAGAGAGAGAGAAAGAAGTATATGTATACACATCGAACTTATTCGATACCAACTTGATTTGAAATTTGACACTATACATCCATTACAATCAATTATACATCGAAAGCATTTGAATGTTTGGTAAAGTGGAGATTAGGTTAATGGTGCGTAGGACGGATTATATCAAGGCATATAATAGCTTTGTAAACTAGGAAACAGGATATCATTTTGTTTGGTTTGGAATTTTTCCTCTTGTTATTTCGCATTAGAAATTTTATCCCAGTTTCAGTGGGTAGAGGTTAGGTTGGTGCATTGTGGGTAGTGACATACGATCCTGGGTATGCTTTAATCTCGCTCAATTGAAAAATTAAAATTCTATATTATTTATACCCCGCTAAATTAACCATTGTTGAATTTTTTACATTAATTTTTTTCATTTGCTTCAGATCACGCTATACTGCTAGCTTTAGTAATAAGGCAGCATAACTCAGTCACATTTAATTTGTACAATACAGTTATTACAAATCTAAAATATTTTATTAAACATCAGACGTGCTTCAGGGTTCTATACTTGGCCCACTGTTGTTTATTCTTATCATCAATGATATGAATTATATTGACAACACAGGCCGACAAAAAAAGTATTTTTTTTTTGGTTTTTAGATGACACCTCTCATTTCTTATAGATTTTGATGTGCTGAAACCAAATTAGAAGAGTAAAAAGATTTCCATGCTTTAAATTTTTTGTAATCGACAAGACTCATCTATATTGAATATGCAGTTATGTCAATACTACCTTTGGTAAATATGAAGAATACCGATTCTATCCCAATTTTAACCTAGATGACTGATTTCTCATGTATTTTTTGGGTGGTGAACACGAATCCAAACTTGGCGGACGACCCTTTTTAGGTGAAAAAGGGCAAAAACACAATTATACTGAAAAAAGAAGTGTAAGGTGTGTTTTCCTATGTGGTGCTCAACATAAATCCCATGATAAAAAGGGCCCCATCAAGTAGTAAAAACTACTGCTATGGTCAGTTACAAATCTCGCTTGGCATGTGTGATTCAGGCTCTTTTTGAGGTCTCTAGGCAAAGATAACGCACTGTTGACTTGATTACTCAACCATCTTAATTGTAGATTTTAATCGGTATTTCATGCTCTATTAAAATCCTCTTTTGCGCTGAAACATCGACGAGCAAAACATTCGCAATGGATTGGAAACCCGTTCGTACACGTAACATAAAAACAAAATAAAAAAGCATCCAGTAATATATCCCGTCGGGAGCTCGCGCTTGATCCAGCATTAGCGACGCCCACCGTTATCAGATAGACCGTCACGTCAATTTCTGTTATTTCTAATGGAACAGCACGGCCACATATGATGTAAAATAAATATTTTCCGCTAGAAATTATATTCATAACCGGCCGGTTGATGAATAATTTAACAAAACCGAATTGAAGCCGCTGGAAAAATAAGCGTTGAGTAATGTGTATGTCGATTATATTCTAGATGGTATAGTTTTTGTTTTGGACTCATGAGAAGTTGTTGCAGGGCTACTGAACTTTGACGAAATCTGGCCTGTACCGTCTACAACCTTATTGAGGCCAATACTTTCAAATAAGCAACAACATTTGAAGAATTTGTATTTGAGATGAGTTGTTATTTTATTATTGCAAGAGACGTGTTCTTGATACAAAATAACAAGACAGAATATCAGCAAGGGATAGGAATTGTACAGTATATTCGCATTTCCAAAAAGATAGGGAAAATTATTAATATATTGTCGTAGTATTGTTCGAAATTTACCCATGGTTCGAAAAAATTTACCAATCTTTCAAAAATGCAGGTCTCATAGCAGCGTAGACAAATTATCGCAGACCTACTATGCAGATCGGATGACGTATGGTGGATAAACACATTTTCACCCATGTTTTGAACATTTCCGAAACTTCTCCCAGCAAAGCCACAATTGCCACCAAATTCCTTCAGGTATACACCAAACGATGCTGACAGTGCATGTGCCGAAGTGCTATACTTCTTCGACCGAGCAAGGACGTGCCAACATTTCCATACATCTTTGGAAGATTTGCAGCCAAGCTGCTACGAAGACATGATTGCCGCCAAAATAAAAGCACGAATTTCTTAACCATACTTTCCAAAATCGGCGAAAATTAAGAAGTTTAAAAAATTTAAAACTTGAAACGACAAAATGACACTAACACAAATTATTTTCAGTATCCCAACTCTTTGGAGACGCCCGCAATCCACAAAGTAATAGTTTTCGAAAGCCCGAATTTTCCTACTCTGGTTCCGGCCTCACCTTGCGGACCCAGCGTCGAGAGCGTTCGAACGTCAATCTGAGGATCATGCAGTTCAAATCAGTATCGAATCATGGGCATTACTAGGAGTACTCTCCCAATTATTTCGTATAATGAATCATATGCCATCCATTTGTTATTATTGCGTGCTAAATAATCAATAAATTTCACAAAAAAATCATTTTCAAAACTGTTAAAAATTTCTCCCAAAATATTTCACAAGCTCAACGGTCCCATTGCACTTAAAGCACACCATTCAGCCTCGTTCATCCTACGGTGAGGGTCATAATAATGAAAATGACACAAATATTCCATGACATGGGCCCAAACGAGGAAAATTAATTAGCGAGATACAGAACGTTTTAAATTTTAGGAAGAAAACGATATCCTTGTTTCTCCGCCACTGGTTTTTGAATTTGGACTGTGTGCATACAGAACTAGGAGGAATACTTGAAAAGAAAATGTGTACCAAATTTGGATATATTTGATTGATATTGATATTTGATGAAGCGGTTTTTCAGATATTTAAAGAAATTGTTTTATTTTTGATCATTTCAACGCCCTGTATCTCATAAACGGTGGTTTTCTGCCCCTATGTTCATAGAGCAAAGTGATATTAATTGTTGTTCTTTAGCGCTTTCCCGAAGCTTGTCTATTAAAATCTGGACCACCCTGTACACCTATATCTTATAACTTATATAACAAAATACTATGAAATCCATAGAAAGGTATGGACCCAATGTCGGTTGGTCATTGAAACATCGAGCAAAGACTAAGAAAACAATAGACTGAAGGTAGGTATACAACAACTGTAAAATATAGAAGATACTGTAATAACCTTAAATATTGAAAATGGAATCTTTGTCAAACAGAAAAGTTTAATTATATTAGGAAACACATTATTTTAATTCTTGACTATATCCGTAAAAGTCTTCCATCAGATTCTTCTGAATCTACATCAGATGCTTCTAAATCTGTTCTGACAGCAGCGAAATCACTTCTTGAATAATCCTTCCTGACTTTCTTCTGGAGATGTGCCTTAAGTCTGCTACAGAATTTCCTAAGAATGGATTATACTTTTTCCTGATTGTCCGCAAAAAACAGCTTTATTATTATCTTACACAGTATTCTTCTGCATTCAGTTCTAGCCAGTCCTGTATAGATAAGCTAGTCTAAATTAACTTATTTTGGTCCAACAAATCTCTGGCGTATAATATTTTAAAGACACCTTGTATAGCAGCGTTACTGAACAATTCCTATTTAGTAGTATTTGTTTCTGTTCACCTAAAATGGCTATTAAAATTCATACATTCATACATATCACATCCGCTCATGTATCATTTTAGTAATTACCATTTTAATTCCGATCAATTGGAAATTTATATGTATATAAAGTTCTGTGTATGTAAATCTTAATTGGTGTGATCATTTCCAGCAAAGCGTGTGTTTTAGTTTTCAGTTTTAAAAAGCTGTCAGTTGCATCAAGTTGATTGAAATCCTGGATAGGAATTGTATCATATTTTAATTGAAAAGTACAATGTCAGGTTTCAATTTTAATATTCAACAAACAGTTGCCTATTATTTTCATTTCACGAAATTATTAGTATTCGAATGAAAGGAAAAAGCTAATTGAAATAAATGCTTTATTTTTAAATGCTATCAAATGAAATAAAGCAATGTTCTTCAACATCAACGATCTAAGTATACAAAAAATGTCTTACAATTAGCTGAATATCTATACGGGAAACAATTATTTTATGGATGATGTATTTTTTAAAATGGGACACCCGGTGTAATAGATCTTATTAAATTAAATTAGTTAACACAAGTATATTAAAACTCATTTTTAATAAGTAAATGGTATATATTTAATATACCTACCCAAATAACCATATAATTGAAAATGTAAAAATATTTTATTTACATCAGCATGTTATTTGAGTTAATAAATATAAACATTAAAAAACAATGAATCAAACAAAAGACGTTAACAAAATTCAGAACTGTCCCATGATTTAATTCAAAACTTTAGCGAAAACAACCGTCGGCAGGTGATGTTTGCTCGAGCGTTTAAAATTTACAAGGCT